ATAATTTTAGATTGTAAAGTTAATAAAAGACATAAATAAAGATAAAGATTTTCAAGTTTATAAGCGCACTATAATGGATTAAATATGTAAAATTTACCAAACAATATTAATATGGATAAAATTTATACATAAACATATCTTTCATTTAATATAGGAGTTATTTATAAACTTTGATAAAAAATAATTTTATAAAAATAATAGAATATTTAAAATAAAATCAATTTATTTGTAACTTTTGTTAAATAAGAAATAAATTATATTTAATTTAAAAATAATATATTTTTAAAAAAATATGGCTATATCATTTAAATAAACTTTAAAAAATTATTTTATATAAAGAAATATTAATATAATGACATATAAAAAATAAAATTTTTTAAAAAAATAGAAGTAGCAAATAAAAAAAAAAAAATTTATATAAAATTTATTATAATAAAACTTAAATAAAATAATATAAATAAAAAGAAATATAAAATTTGATTAAAAATAAAAAAATAATTATTAAAAATATATAAATATTTTTATTTTTATATATGTAAATGTATATGTATAAATATAATTATATATCTATATAAATATTTATTTCTATATATATATAAAATTTTTTTTTTTTTATATTTTTTAATTATTATATTTAATTATTTATATTTAATTATAATATTAAAAATATCTTATTAATTTTTTTTTTTTTTATGTATTTTATTTATATAAAATAATTTTTATAAATATTTTTTCATTAATTATTTATTTATATATAAATTATTTATTATATATTATTCTATTTTTTTATATTATCCTTTAAAACTTTATTAAAAAATTTTTTCTAAAGTTATTATTTTTTTTTAACAATAAGTTAAAAAATGGGTTAAATTTGTAAAAATATATGTAATTTTGAAAATAGAATTGACTAAAATTAAATTTTAGTATATTCAAATTTAGATATATTATCTCCTTTAATCTAATCTCCTTTTTAAAATTAATAAATTTTAAAAAAACAAATTAGTATTAGCGATTTTTAAAAAATTAATCATTTAGGATAAGGTGAATTTGGTAATGTAATTCTCGTAAAAAAGAAAAGCAATAACAAAATATATGCAATGAAAATAATATTAAAAAATAAAATAATATCAAGAAATTTAATTGGAAAAATGACTTGTGAATAAAAAGTATTAAAAGATAATCAATCTCCTTTTTTAATTAAACTTGAATACTCATTCTAAACAGAAACAAAGTTATATTTAGTTATGGAATATTGTAAAGGTGGTGATTTATATTCTTTATTAAGAAAATATTCACGTTTTCCAATAAAAATAGCAAAATATATATCTGCAGAAATACTATTAGGTATATTTCGAACATAAAAAAAAAATGTCATCAATTTTTTTTTCTCAAAAAGGCCTAGAATATTTACATAAAGAAATGAAAGTTATATATAGAGATTTAAAACCCGAGAATATACTATTAACAGAAAAAGGACATATAAAAATAGCTGATTTTGGCCTTGGAAAATAATTAAAGACTTAAGATGAATTAACATATACTTTTATAGGTACTTAGGAGTATATAGCCCCTGAAATAATAAAAAACTAAATGGAAAAAAATTAAATAGGATATAATTATAAATGTGATATTTGGGCTTTTGGAATACTTTTATATGAATTAATTAACGGAAAGCCTCCTTTTACACATCCAATGAGAAATTGGAAGCCTATAATGAATTTAATTTTAGAAAATGAGCTTTAGTTTAGTAAATATTTTGATATTAGTTCCAAAAACCTAGTATGTAAATTATTAAATACCGATCCTTTATAAAGACCTAATTGGGATTAAATTAAATAAGATGATTTTTATAAAGATATAGATTGGCAGATGATTAAAAAAAAGAAATATGATAGTTTACTTTAATAGTTTGTTTAACAAAAAAATGATAAAGAAAGTAATTCAGAACCGAGTGCGATTATCGAGTCTTTTCATTATATAGGAAAAAAGAAAAAATTTGAAGGGTTTACATACGATAAAGTTGAAAGTATATGTGAAGATTTAAGGGAAAGTAATGAATATGTATAGAAAAAAAGTGGTATTAATATTTAAAATAGTAATAATAAATAAATTAATTTTTCATGTATTTTTTTTTAACAATTTTTATATATTTAATGTATTTGTATTTTTCAATATATATATTAGAATATATTATTTTGGTATTAATATTATTTTATATATATACAGGAAATTAATCTAATATTAATATTTTTTCTTTTATAAAGTTATTAATTTTGTATATTTTCTTTATTTTCTTTTTATTTTATTATTGATATATTAAAAAAATGAAATAATTATTTTATATTATCTTTTTTTATATTACCTTTTTTTATTATTTAAAAGATATTAATTATAAGCATATAATAGAAATATTTTTATTTTTTATAGAAATTATAATTTAAATTTTTAGTTTTTTGATAAATATATATTTCTATTAATTTAAAAAATATATTATAAATTTATTTCGATATAAAAATAAAATCTTAATGGTATATAAATTAAAATTAAAAAGGTCAAATTATCATTTTTTTTGTTATTTTACAAAATAAACATATTTTACATGTAATAATATTATAATATTATAAAATTATTATTTGAGATATTATATTTTTATAAAAATTAATAAAATAAATTATTTTATTATTATTATTAATAATTATATATTTCTTAAAAGAAAAAAAAAAAAATCTGATAATTAAAATAATATCTTTTTTTATTTTTCATATATAAATAAAAACTAATTTTTTATTTTATCAATAATTTTATTTATTGTTATAAAAAAAAGACAAAAATTCAAATATTAAAAAAAAACAAACAAACAAAGAATATATATATATATATATATATATATATATATATATATATATTTATATATATATATATATATATAATAAAATTTATTTATATATATATATATATTTTTCATCCCGCTCAATGATCAGGAGTATCATCTTAAGGTTATTCTCTTGCGAATTTTTTAAACGCTGCAAGAATTTCATCACAATATTTAGAATCCAAACAAGTAGTATCTACAATAATTCCACTTACCAAATAAGGATCAATATTAGAAGCAGGTCTTCTATCTTCATAATAACCTTTTCCTTATGCAGTTGTATAAACAGGAATTCTAACTGAGACAGCTCTACTTCCCTCTCCATAATTGAATTTATGGATAGAACTAGTTTCATATGATCCAGTTAATCTTGCTTTATTACCTTCTCCATAAAGAGTGATATGTTCAAGATGTTTTTCTTTTAATTTAGGTAAATGATTATTAATAATGAAATTTAATCCGCCATCAGAACGAGTAGATTTAGTTGAATAATTAGTATGTGCACCTGATCCATTCTAAAAAAAAAAAAAGTAAATATAAAATAAAATAAAATTAAATATAAATAAATACCCAAGCACCCTTAATAGGTTTAGGTTAGAAATCAACATGAGCTCCCATTTCTTCACCTAGTCTTAAAAGAATATATCTAGCCATCCACATCATATCCCCACATTCAATACCTTTAGTAATACCGACTTAAAATTCCCATTATCCAGGAGCAACTTCAGCATTAAGTCCTGCAATTTTTAATCCTGCAGCAAGACAACATCTCAAATGAGCTTCAGTTAAGGCTCTTCCAAAGCAATTAAAATCTCCAACTGAGCAATAATATCTTCCCTAAGGGAAAGGGAATCCACCCTCAGGCCATCCTAAAGGCCAAGCATGTGTAGTTCCGGTTCTGCTGAAAAGGAAATATTCTTATTCAATGCCAAACCAGGGATCTTCTTCTTTAGCTTCATCCATTATTTTAGATACAATGTATCTAAAATTACCCCTAGCGGGTGTTACTTTATCGGCTAAGTAAGTTTCGGTCATTACTAAGTAGGCACGTACTCCTTTTCTGAAAGGATCAGGACACATGTATACGGGTTTTATCCATATTTCAGAATCTCCAGTAGAGGCTTGTCCGCAGGATGAACCGTCATATGTCCACCAGTCTAGTTCTTCAAGTTTAGTTATTTTAGATGTGTAGACTCTAGTTTTGGAACGGAGGCCTTTACCAGTTCCGTCAATCCATATGTATTCGCATAAAGTGAAGTTGTCGAGACTGTTGTGTTCTTGGTTGAAATCATAAAGATTGAAATTTCTTAAATTTAAGAATTGATTTTAGTGAGACATTTTTTTATTTTAATATATATATATATATATAATAATATATTTTGTAATTTTGAAATTATTATTATTTATTATTATTATTTATTATTATTATTATTAATTATATTTTTTTTTTTAAAAAAAGATATTTGAAATAAAGAAAATAATTATAATTTTAATAAAATTTATGAGTTTTTATTTATTATTAAAATTGTAACGTCATGCTTTAAACAAGTTTTATTGATATGCGCTATTTATATAGATTAATTAATTGCACGTGTAAATTTATGTATATCATTCGAAAAATAAAATTTTGAAATTAATTTTTTTTTTTTTTATACATTAAATTTAATGTGATTCATTATTTAATTTATTCTTAATATAATATCTAGAAATATTATTTATCATTTATAATTTTAAATACATATTCAGAAAAAAAATTATATTAATAAGATATATAAAATAAACAAAATATAAATAATTAAACATTAAATTATATAAAGTATTTATTTTATATAAAAAATTAATAAAATATTTTGAAAATTATATAAATATATATATATATTTAGATTTTAAAAACATTTTTTTATTTTTTTATTTATAAATATTAAATACTTTTTGTAAAAAAATCATATTAAAATATAAAGTTTAACTTTAGCTTTTTTGATTATTGATTATACTATATTTAAAATATTAATATATAATTTTAAAAATTTCGTACATTTTCTATTGTATTTATAATTAATACCTGAAAAATCAATATTTAGTAAAATTTAATAATAAAAACAATTTAATACTGATAAAATAGTTATTTTTTTATTAGAAAAAAAAAATATAAAAATAATCTAAATATTTTTATTTATCATTATAATTAAATATAAACAAATATTTAATATAAATATTTTACATAAATTAAAACAGTACTTTTATAATATTAAAAAATATATATTTTAATATTATTTAAAAAACTTAGTAAATTCGAAAATAAATCAAATAAAAAAGTCATTTAATTAAAAAAAAAACTATTAAAATAAAAGTCAAATTGCTTTTATCACATAATAAGTTATGAGAATATATCAATTATATATAAAAAAATATATACTAATACATTATTTAATCTTAAATATATATTTTAATAAAAAATGGTTATAGTTGAATATTTATATTATTAATTTAACTATATAAATAAATAAATAAATAAATTAAATAGACATATTTTAAAATAAATTAAATTTTTTAATTTAAAACAATATATATATATATATAACTTATTTCTTTTTTAATTATTTATAAGAATGATACTTAATAATATTTATTTATTTGATTTAAAAGTTAATTTAAATTTGGTTTGTTATCAATACAAGAAATATAATTTATTAATATTATAATTATATATTTTCTATTTATACTTTTTATAATTATATTTAATATTTATATTTAAAAACTTTATCATCATATTTAGATTATATTTAAGAAAAGATTATAATCTATATGATTAAATTATTAAAAAAAAATAGTAATCTTATAAATAAAATAAGAAAAATATTTTTTATTATACTAATGTATTTGAAAAAAAAAAATATAATAAATGATTAATAAAATGTTTTATATTTTTTTTTATTTATAATAATATATAAAAAAAAAATAAGAAAAATAAAACCTTTAAAAAAAAATAATAAAAAAAAAAAAAATTAAAAAATATGGCTTCCAAATATCTTTAAAAATATCCTGTACCTGAAGGTTTTTATGAAATATTACACGATTTCACACGTGAAATATTACGCGCTTAACCTGAAGACATAATCTACTTTGCGGCAAACTATTTCGAATAAAAAGCTTAAGGAAAGGAATATATATATGAATCAAAATATAACGTTCCAAAGCCTGTTGATAAATATGATATGGCAAATAAAAAGAGTTATAATCCAACCCCTCATGAATAATATGCTGATTAAGCAATGAAAGTAGTTGAAGCATCTAATAATAAGGAAAATGATTTATAAAAATTAAATTCTTAAAAATCTGATAAACAAAATGATCTTTCAAATCATTCAAAAGAAAGTGATATTTCATTCGCTGAAGAGAAAAGAATCAGCAAATAATTTGTATAAGATATGTATAATTCTGCCATGTTAAAAGCAGCAGGTACAGAAAGTGTTCAAGAAATAAAAAGCATATAAGAAGATAAAAGCCAATAAGAAATAAAAAGCTAATAAGAAGTTTAAAGTTAATAAGAAGTTATTATTTAATAAAAAGAAGAAATAAAATTAGATGGACCTATAGAAAGTTACTAAAATGCAGCTTTAAAAATTCAAGCTAAATTTAGGGGAGATTAAGTAAGAAATAAATATAATTGATGACTTCTTATAGAAAAATAAATATATATATATATATATATATATTTATATTTTTTTTAAAAAATATTTTTATTAAATTTAACAATATTTGTTTTATTTTTTTAATTTTTTTAAATCACTATTAATAATCATTTTTATATATCACTTTTTTCTTATTTACCTTTAAAATTTTATTATTTTTAAACTTTTTAAACAATTAAATAATTCTAATTTAACATATACTTTTATTATTTATTATATATAATACTTTACATGTTTATTACATTATACATATAATATTACATTTTAATAATTTTATTTTTTTTGTATAATTAATTGAATATTAAATATATTATTTGAAAACTTATATTTAGTTTAAATTTATTTTAATTTATTAAAATATTTTTTTTTATATTAATATAATTTAATATTTTTTTATTTTTTATAGTTTTTTTAGTTTTTTAATTTTTAAATTATTATTTTTTGATTATAAATAAAATTTTAAATAATATTTTAAAAATTTTAGTGTTATATTTATAAAAATGTATAGTCTCTTTTTAAATAAATTATTTCCTAATCTTTTAAAAAATTTTATATTTCAATAGTTTATATATTTCTTATGTTTTTTTAAAAAAAAATTAATCAATTTATTAAAAAAGTAGTTATAGGTATTTTATAACCTTTTATTTTATAATAAGGTTATAAAAAATTATAATAAAAGAATAATATATATAAAAGTAATATAAACTATATTTAGAAATTTTAATTTATAATAAACTTTTTTTACAAAATTTTAATTATTTAAAGATTTTTTAAATAAAAATTCTTATATTTCAACACTAAAAAAAAATAATTACTTAATTAAAAAAGTTAAAATAAATTATTGTTATTAAAATTAATATATTATTATTATTATTATTATATTATTATTATTATTATTATTAATTTTATTATTATATTAATATTTTTATATTTATTTTTATTATTCTTTTTATTTTTATTTAATACCAAATATAAAAAAATGAATATGTTTAATAATGAAAATGAAAAAATAAATACAGAAAATCAAAATTAAAAAAAATCAGATTTAATTTTTTTGCAATAATAATAAAATATTCAATATGATAAATAAGAATATTCACTATAAGAAGAACAAGAAATGAATTAATGGAAACCATCAAATAAATTATTTGGCGGATTTATATATATAATTACAGGTTATTTATTTAAATATTTAAAATCCTAAAATAATAAAATAAAAAAAGGTATTTATTTATTAGTAGCCGGTATATTGTTTGCAATCAAAAATGAAAAAGTAATAGAATATAAAATAGAATATAGTCAAATTTAAAAATGCGGATTTAAATAAATATGTGAAATAGAGTTAAATATTAATTAAGAAATAAAATAACCAGTCTTTATATATTATGAAATGAAAAACTTTAATTAAAACTATTAAAAATACATAGATTCATATAATTAAGAATAAATATATTAAGCTTAAAAATTATATAGCCATTAAGATAATTGTGAACCTTTTAGAACAAATTAATAAATATGTGATAAACTTAAAGAATTAAAAATAATTTAGTAATCCAATGAATATAGAAATATTCTTGGATAATAATTTACTTAATAATAAATGGAATAAGTCGCTATACCTTGTGGAATAAAAGCTTTTACATATTTTAATGGTATTTTTAAATATTTATAAAAAAATATATATTTTTTTTTTAGATGAATATAAATTATATAAAATTGATGGAAATTAAAAGTAAGAAATTAATATAAAAAGTGATAATATTTCATGGGAATTTGATTAAAAAAATATTAAAAATTATGATGCTTAATAATAATGGATAAATATAGAAAATTGTAAAATATATATATATATATATATAAATATATATATAATAATAAATTTTATATTATATTATTTATTTACATTTAATTATAAAAAGAAAGATTTCAAAATTGGATTAGAGTTTCTGGTTTATCTAAATTTAAAAAATTATGGGGTAAAATCGATTAAGATTTAAAAACTGGGAATTATATTATAGAAATAAATAATAGTAAAATAATAATAATTATTTAAAAATATATATATAAAAGAGTTTGATTAAAAAATATATAATACATATAAAAATATTCTTATTAATAATGTTACTTCTATTGGAGGTAAGAATCCTGTCTTAGTAATAGCTCATTTAGTTGGCGGATCTGTTACTCTACTATTAGGGTTTGTATTTATTATATATCATATTAAAACTAAATCTAATAAATGATTTTTTTTTTTAAATATTTATTTTATTTATAATTTTTTTTTTTATTAAAAGAAAAAAAATATATATATAAAAATTTCTTAATGTTTAAAAAACACAGATATATATATGTATATATTATTATATTTATACATAATAAGAAAATATACATTTATATTATTAAAAATAAAAATAATTAATTAATAAAAAAAATAATCATAAAGGACTATTTTTTTATTAATGTATCTATAAATAAACTTAAGCCAGTGCCACAAAAGCAGTAGTTAATCCAGCAACAATAGATTAAAACAAAGGCAGTGTAATTTTGATTCCGAAGAAAGTTAAAGGTTAATTAATAGAATCTTATTAAAGTTCTAATTTACAACTTTCAATTCCATCCAATAAACTGTTCAAATGTTCTTTGAATAAAATATTATTGTCATTTACATATTATTTTATTTTAAAAATAGATTTTTTGAATACAAAATTACTAATTTTTCCTTAATTTTCATTATCAGAGTAAATTTCTTCCATTCTCAAAATATCCTTAAAAATTATTTAATGGTCTCCCAAAATAATATCAAATTTTTCGAATTTTTCATTTATTAAAGCACCCAAGAAAAGCATATATAGTAAAATCGAAAAAGTAACCGTAAGTTCATAAAAGCAAATAAATGGATAAATAAGATTCAGTTGATATAAATTAGTTACCCATAAAAACACTAAAATTAGATTAAATAAAATATAAAATAAATAAAAAGACAAATAAGACTATAATCTCAAAAAATAAGATTTTCCATAATCTAAAAGTATTCTTCTTAAAATAGACCAAGCTTTTTTTTAAAGAAATTTCTTAAAAAATATATAATATATTTATAAAATATATATATAATAAAAATATATATATATATTATATTTATATATTATATATAATATTTATAATATATATAATATATATGTTTATATAAAATAATTTATTTATAATTTATATGATTTTTATATAAATAATAAAAACATATAAAATATTAATATATAATTATATTTAATAATATATTAATAATTTTTATTATCTTTATATATATAATTATATTAATATATATACATTTTAATGAATACGGATTTGTTATATCTATTGTAGGAAGGCATTTTTTTTCTGCTTTATGTTCTTTTTTTACTTAGAGCATTAATTAACATTATAGTTAACAAAAAAGCTTTAATTTCAAATCTCGAATGAAATTAAATAAAAATACAAATGATATACTGTAACCTAAAAATGTATTAAAAAATAACATTGCTAACTATATTACTTCATAATTACATAAATTTATATTCTTTTAATATAAATAACGAAAAGCAATAGGTATTGAAGATCTTACTAACGCTAAAATTATACATAAATATGGTATTGATTTCGAATATATTTATGTTTTTTTATATTATTATATTATATATCCTATTATTCCATATCCATAAAACATTTTACCATTCTATACTTGATTATATGAGTTTGATTAGAATTTAGAAGATGTATATTTATGTTATTTTGATAATTCATTGTTCATTTGTTCAATTTCTGTTTATATTTAATTATTTGGATCAACAAAAAATCTATTTTTTTAATTTTTTAATTTTTTTTTTTTATTTTATTTTACGAAATATAAAATAATGCTTAATCAATTTCTCCTCTTTATATAGAATTATAAGTTTCTCTATATATAGTTTAATAATTTTACTATGCCCAATTTTTTAAATAAAAATCTAATATTCTATATTATCTTTCTATATAATAATTTTTATATAATTAAATTTTATCTTCATGTAAAGTTGCATATCTATATATAATTATAAAAAAAAGTTTTACATATATATATATAAAAAATAACTTTGCTGCTATAATATAACATCTAAGTATTATAATAAAAATAGTAAAAAGAATTTCTAAAAAATAGACATTTTAATTTGTAGTTAAAAAATACAAACTTATATTTACCATATTATTAATATAAAAAAATGTCTGGAAATAAAAATCAAAACTATTTCCAAAAAACCCTAAATTACCCATTAAATTAAGTCTTTTTAGATAAATTAAATTAACTAAAGGTCCCAAAAATACATAGAATAATATATGATACCAAAAGAACTCTAAAAAAATACCTAAATTAAAAGTAACTTAGTGATCTCTTAGTCTATTTATAGTTTCTGGATTTATAAATTTATTTCGGTCATTTTCTTTTTTCTAATTATCCTCACCGAAATATTCATCTTCCATTATATTTATTGAAGTCCCTATTTTTTCTATTTATTTTGTTCTATAATTTTATATATTATTTTTGTTATGTTTTAATTTATAATCGCTTAATATCTAATTTTATTATAAATGTATTTATTATAATTCACTTCCTCTTAAATTTGATAGAAAATCATCATCATTATTTTTTGATTATGTATCTAATTTAATTTATTATAGTTAACTTTATTTACCTTTTTTTTTATAAATGTTTTTTTAATTTTTTTGTTTTTTTTTTTTAATAAAATATTATTAAAAACTATAAAATTCTAATGATTTTTATTAAAGTTAATTATTCATTGGTTTATTCATTTTTTTTTTTTTGTTCTTATTTTTTTATTTATTTTTTCTTATTTATTAAACAATAAATTCAATAAATTATTATATTATACAAATATAAGTAAAAATACATAAAAAAATAATAATATTTTTATAACAAAAAATAAAAATTAAAAAATAAATACATAAAAAAAAAGTCAAACATTTTTTTTCAAAAATGGTGAAAGTCCTAAATTTTATTTTTTAATATTATCCTAAAACTCCATATTACCTTAAATACAATCTTCGTCTTATATATTTTCTTCCCCAATACCCATTAATTTACTTTTATTTCCAAAAATACCATTTATTAAAACAACTGGTTCTTCAATTTTTTAATTTAAAAGAATAAATTCTGGAAGAAAATCTTAGCTTTTATTAATAAAATTATCTTCCAATAAATTATTTGTTTTTTTATTCCAAAATCCTTCACAAATTTAACTTTGAGAATTTTTTTAGTTTTTCTTTTTCCCGTCAAAAAATGGCCTTTATTAAACAAAATAATTCCTTTTTTTTTCTATATTTTTTTTTATGTTTTTTTCGGCAATTTTTTCACTATTTTTTTCAATATTCTTTTTTGAGTTTTTTTTGGAGTCTTTTATATCGTTTATTTAAAAAAATCGCTCTTCTTCGCAAAAAAACCTATTTTTTCCAACAATCCTATATATATATTTTTAATAACTATTAATTTTTCCTTTTATTTTATTTAAATAAGCTATATTTTGCATTTTCTTATATAAAAACTCCGTCCAAACCGAAAAATCGCAAGTAAAAAATGCACAAAACTCCTTTTTCCTTTCCCAAATTTACTTTTTAAATTCTTCTTCATAATCAAAGTTATTAATCATCCTCAAAAACTATCCACAAGAATCGATAATTCTCAAAAACTCTTCATTTTAATATTAAACCTGTCTCTATTTATTATACTATTAATAAAGCATCCCTTAATCCCTCAAAACATTCTCCTAATCCTTCAATATAGGGAATATTTATCCGAAAATACAGGCAAATACGTTAGGAATATACTAAAAATAGTCTTAAAAATCATCTAAATTTAACTAAAGGTGTATATATTCATTAATTAAGTGTATATTTTTGGACAAAAAGTTTTTTTCTGACAAAAACTTAACTTATTTTTAACATAATTTAATATGTAATATTCCAAATAAATTCAAAGCTGAAATTTTTTCCGAAAAAACTGAATTTTCTAAAATAATATTATATAAATTTAAAATTTCTTCTGAAAAATTCTCCTTTTAGAAACTTTAAATACTCTAAAATAACCTACAACTGCTATTAAAAAAGCTTGAATTTTTCTCTTTTTTTTCTAATATTTTTTCATCTTTTTTTTACTTCTAAATATATACTGATTTAGCCTCAATTTAAGCCATATTATTAACTATACCCTATAAATTTCTCATAGATACATTTTAAGTTATGTTGTTTTTATCCTCTTTAGAACATTTATTTACATCCATATTGTTTCCTTAAACACAACATTCGTCTATATTATCCATCATATCATCTTCTTATTCATCTATTTCATCATCTTCTAATACATTGTTTTAACATATATCATCTATGTGCATTTTGTCAGGATCCTGGATGTCTTCTTCTTATGAGTCGTACCCGAATTCTTTGTTTCGAGGGTTTTGGGCAATGTTTTTTATTATATTTTCCTTTATAGAATAACCAAATTATTAATCGTCAAAAAGGTCTAATTATTCCTGTAAAAAAAATTCCTTTTATTTCATTTTCTCAGTTATAATATTTCTTAAATTCTATATATTTTTATCATCTTCATCAATTATATTCTCATCTTCTTCTTTTTTCTTATTTTTAATATTTTTTTAATTTAATATATTTCCTTAAATCCATCTATTTTCTTATTTTCTTAATATTTTAAATAATATTAAACTTTATAAAGCAACCTATAATATAAAAAAAAATATAAATATAAATATAAAATTATGAATATATATATATAAAAATAATATATATATATATATATATATATATATATATACTTTTCTAGGAGTTTAATTATATTTTGTAAAATCAAATGTGTTTGAATTGGCGTCTGAAAGTAATTCAAGAATAGCAATATTTCCTTAATTAGCCGCTAAATGCATTAAACTCCATTTATTTACGCCTCCTCTTTTATCAAAATCAAAAAGGCATTAATTTTATATATTGTTTTAATTATAAAAAATAGCAAATTTAATTGCTTCTTTTTAATTTTTTCTAACTGCCAAATGTAAAGGACTCCAAAAATCTTTATTTAAACAATTTGGATTTGCCCCTTTTTCTAATAATAATTTACATATATTTTATGCTTATTTTACATCCTTTTTAAAAAACCATAAAACATATATGTAGAGCAGTATTTCCTTCAAAATCTACACTGTTTACGTCTGCATTTCCTTCCAGAAATCGCATAACTATTTTCTCGTTTAATTTACTAGTTGCCATATTTAGTCCACTACCCAAATACCCGCCGCCTTTCCTCACATCAGCGCCTATTTAAAGTAGGAAATCTACACTACGAAACTTATTTTCTAATATAGAAAAAGTTAATAGGCTCTAACCTTCTCTATCTACTTAGTTTAGAGAGTTTTCGTTAGTTAATAATGCCTTAAGAACCCCTAATTCTTCGTTTTCGGCTGCTTAAAATGCCAAAGTCCTTCCTTTGGAGTCTTTTTTGTATAAATGGGTATCTTAATTATTAGAAAAAAAATTAACAAAATTTTAAAAAGTTATTTCTGGTTAATTTTCTTTTTAGAAAAGAATACATAAGTCAAATAATTTATTAAAATAAGAATTATGTAAAGGCCTCTATATTAGTATATCTGCCTAAGGTTTAATAAATTTAAACCAATCTAATGCTAATTCATTTAAAAAATTAAAATTTTTCAATTTAATTGGAATTTTTGTAAATAAATTATTATATATATACAAAACTTCTAGTTTTTTTAAATTAGTAATTTCGTTTCCTATATTTTCGATGTTATTTTAACCTATATTAAGTATTTTTAAATTCGAAATATTCTATAAAGAACCAGGTAATTAACGTAAATAATTATTAGAAAAAGAAATCTCTTCTAAATTTTTTAAAAAAGCAATTTATTCAGGTAATTCTTATATTAAATTAAAATCAAATGTTATACTTTTTAACATTAAAAACTAACATAATTCAATAGGGAACACTAGAAATTAATTATATGATAAATTCAAAACTATTAAAGTACTTTTCATATCAAATAATTATGCTGGAAGTTTATTTATTTTCATTTCTTGAAAATCAAATATATATTTTTATTTATGTATATCATTTTTTTATGTTGTCGATGAATCTTATATACTACTTTATATTAATGGAAATGATTTTCTTTCTTTTAATTATTAAAATTATAACAATTAATTTTGTGAAAAATTTAAATTTATAGAATTTAATGTATCTATAGATTCTATTTGATATTATGGAATTGTAAAAGTTTTTATAAATGAATCTTCGTTGTTTCTTCATTATTAAATAATTATTTGTGTTTATATGTTTTTATTTCATGCGATATACTAGGTATACATGTATCACTTTCAGTTATGTCTACTTCGTGTATTGATATAGATTTTGTAAGTGAATTAGTAAAATTATGTTAATCTTTTTAAAAAAATTATTGTTTTCTTTTTATAATATTTTGCATTAAATAATTTAGTAATTTAGTTATAAAAAGAATTTTTTAAAAAAACTTTTAATTTTAATAAATGTATTAAACATATATTTATAAATATAAATATATATATATATAAAAATATATATATATATATTTATATTTATAAATATTTAATTTTAAAAATTTATATTAGTTCTTTTTATTTTTTAATGATTTTATATAAAATACTCAAAAAATTACATATTATATTTATAACTAATTATATTTAAATAGTTCTTTTATTTTAATAAAATTTTTTATTATAAAAAAATAAAAATAAGTATAATAATTATGTAATATTTTTATTTAAATTTATATTAACAATTTTTTTTTTTTAATTGTTAATAAAATTATTAAAATACATATTAATTATAATAATAAATAATATTTTTCCTTAATATATATATTCATATTAAATTTTTTTATATTTAAACTAAATATATATATATATAAACAAAAATCTCTTAAAAAGATAAAATATTACTATTAAAATAAAATTCAATTATAAAAATCTATAATTTTTTTTATAGAATAACTTTAAATTATTATTAAATATCTTAAATAACAATGATTTTATTTTATTTATTTAATTTTTTTATATTTGAATTAATATTATAAATAGAAAAATATATTTTCGAAGTTTAGATTATAAAATAGAAAAAAAACATCAGATATATTTATATGAAATAAAAGATAAAAATTATTTAGCTTTTAAATTTTTTTTATTAAATATTTAAATTAAAAATATATTTTATACATTATAATAAAAATAACAAAACTAATTATGAATATAATTAATTAACTAAAATAAATATAATTTATTTTTAATTTTTTTTATTCTTTTTTATTACTATTCTTTTTAAATCATATAAATTATTTTTTTTATGTATAAATTTTAATTGTAAATATTTTTCTTAAAAACTATTTTATATACTATTATATTTATTTCTTAATATGTAAAATTATTTAAT